GGTTTGCTTCAGGGAAGATCCTCCAAGAGGGAAAAAGTACACGAATGACAAACACAGCAGATATTCCCTGCCTGCCACATGGCATTCGTCTCCAGATAAATTATGCTTTCACAAAGCAGTTCTTGAAGCAATTCCTTGGGCTCCATTCTCTTTCTTTATTCCAGACACCTGATACTAATTTACTACTGGCTTCAAAAACACTCTGCTGTGTTGCTTACTTGGTTGACAAATGTGGCTGTATAATGCAAACTGAGAGACAGCTCCAGAGGAGATCACTCACTCTCTCTCTCGTGGTATCACCTGGGGAAAGCATTCCAAATTTCCAGGTGGTGGGCTGAGTTGGTAACCAGGGTGTCCAGCTGAGGTGGGCTTTGAGGAGTTGCTCTTTGGGTAATGTCATGTTGTAACCCCTTAGCACCGTGATACTGCCTCGGTATTACTGCACCTATGCACTGAGTTTTGCAAGAATTTTATAACCTGCAAGGCTTTATTACATAAGGCAAGTACTGGTGCTTAAGCCCATGTGGTAGCTCTTAAAACTGCCACTTGTTACTAATTTCCAAGAATCTGCTGGTTCCTCCATCATGCAACAGAAGTGCCTGTGAGTATTACATGTAAATATCATTTTAATGCTGAGCATCTGCATGGTGATTGAATTGAAAATGTCAGTGCTTATTTCAAGGAAAATCTTAGAGTCATAGAATTTTAGGGGGTAGAATGGACCTTACAGATCATCTAGTCCCAACCCCCTGCCCTGGGCAGGGACACCTCCCACCAGACCAGGTTGCTCAAGGCCTCATTCAACCTGGCTTTGAACACTGCCAGGGCTGGAGAATCCACTCCTTCCCTGAGCAACCTGTGCCAGTGTCTCACCACACTCACAGGAAAAAACATCTTAATATCTAGCCTGAATTTCCCCTGTTTCAATTTGAACCCATTACCCCTTGTCCTATCAGTGCAGTTCCTAACACAGAGTCACTCTCTGGCTCCCTTGTAGACCTTTCAGATACTCATAGGCTACTATGAGGTCTCCATGCAACCTTCTCTTCTCCAGGCTGAACAGCTCCAACTCCCTCAGCCTGTCTTCATAGGGGAGATGCTCCAGTCTTCTTATCAACTTCATGGCCTCCTCTAGGCTTGCTCCAACAGTTCCATGTCCTTCTTATGCTGAGGGCGCTAGAACTGCGTGCAGTATTCCAGGTGGGGTTTCAGGAGAGCAGAAGGGGAGAATCACCTCCCTTGACCTGCTGCCACACTCCGTTGGATGCAGCCTAGGATTCAGTTGGTTTCTGGGCTGTGAGCGCACAGTGAAGCTCATGGTGAGCTTCTTGCTCCACCTGTCTCATTTATCCAGCTGGATTGAGCGCACTTTCACCTTCCTTATCCAAAGAAGTACTGGATTCCTGTGGGACACCCTGTGCTTGTCTTTTAGTTTCCTAGGGAGAGATAAGAACTTCTTTAGCCAGTTACTGTTCTGGTGACTAAAACTGGAGATTTGGGCAGTGCTGGCAGGCAGAGTTTTGTTGCAAATCATGTAGGACCGAGCGCCTCTGCCTGCCCAGCTGAGTGGATGCTTTGAGAGCACTAGTTCATCTGGTGGGCCAGGGACCACCCTCCTGCCCCGCTGGGCTGGGCATGCTGTCACCTTGTGAGCTTCCACCCGCTTTGTAGCCGCTGTAATGGTCATTTGAGGTGTTAATGTATTGCCTTGTGCTGTGATCTGAACAGTGGCCTGCCCTGTGTCTCCTTGATTATTCTGTAGTCAGCTTTCCAGAAAAATGTGCAAAATGCTTGACTTGTTGAATAATTATTTTGCTGTAAAAATCCTTATTGTATTGAGTCAAACTAGTATTTCATTGTTAGGCATTGTAATGAAAGTGAAATATTCAAATTCACTTAAACTAGTCACACTGTTTTAATCTCTTATTGTCAGTGTTTCCATGGTAACTTGTTTTTGTTCAGGTTTTCTCCTTCAGGCAATATAATGTCATGTTTGTATATATTAAAAAGGTTAAACAAGGTTTGCTTTATACTACTTCATACATTTCTGTAGTGAATTTCTGTCTTTTAAATTAGGAGACAAGAAAGCACTGGTAATTTTCTGCTATTTCTGGCTAAAATTTTCCATGTTTCTGTCAAAAATGTGAGAATTAGTGAGCTAGGAAGATAGGAAAGGTGTTGGCTTTAAATAAGACCATTCAGTTACAATACAGAGCTGAATAACATTTAGTTTCAAGTGAGAATAGTATCAAATGTTGATGTGAGTCTTCTCATCAACAGCTGTTTGGGAAGCTGTTTGAGCCGTCCTGAAATTTTGTTTATTAATATCAAGTCTGTTCTGACTTTACAGGATTCATCAAACTATAGAGATCAGGTATGTTGAAGTACTACATTTAGTCAGCAGAGGGAGAAATCTTGTCTTGAGGAGGAATACAGTGATGGGAATTTCAGTTTAAATTTCAGTTTAGTTTAAAAAAATCAAATCAAATAAATGCCGTTTGAGTTGGCAGATTCTGTCAGCTTGTTCTTGGCTGGGAACAGCTCCACTGTGAACGACTTAGTGTCTTTTTGAAACTTTTTATAAATATCTGCAGTATTTATAAATATGCATATATAGAACTAAGGGTCAAAATAGGCAAGACTGCATAACGTGCAAAGAACCCTTTCTCAGACTGTCAGGGCAGCACAAACAGGACAAGGTGCATGAGTGGAATGATGTGGTACATGAGTGGATTGTTGCCCTTTCCTGAGTGAAAGCTACATGTGTAAAGATCAAGTCTGTTGAGAGAGAAGGCAGCCAGTGGGACTTCTGTCTCTGGAGAGCTGTGTGCTCAAACAGGTTCATTTTAGCTGAAATGTTAGAATTAATTGCTTAGTATGGGAGAACAACCTGAACTGGCTATTTCACAAAGCTGTATAAAGCCATGGTGGTACTCAGTAGCTGATGAAGTTTGCTTTGAGTGCTGGATTTGTCAAAGGTTTGTTGAAATGTCTGAGTCAAACAGTTGTAATTGAACACATGACCATGGCTTTTCCCCATTTGATTAAGACATTGCATACAGGCAGTTTGAAGAAAATCAATTTTGTTTAAGCCAAGTCTATTTAATTACAACACTGACAGTATGTCAGCAGCCTGTGTTAATATTATCTTTGTAATGAAGGCTTTTGGTAATCAATCATCACAGTAATCTTGCACCTACTGCTGGAGCTGGAAGTGGCTTGAGGCAGTGCTTTCTCTGAATCCCAAGGTCTTTTTGAAATGGTCACCGCTGGTTATCTTACTCTTCTATTATACAGTCAAAAAGCAAGATATATTTTGTATATAGGACAGGGAGGTAAATTAGCTGTTGTCAGACAACTTTGAGATGCATTTCTATTAACTAAAATTCAGTTTTTAGATTAGTACTTCATTTGTAATGTAAAATAAATGGCAAACTTTTAAAGCAAAGTTAGATTAATGTGCAGTTACTGTGTATTTCTTAAGTCTTAAATATGTTTACACTGATATACTTCTGATGACTTTATCACAGTTAAGAGACCCTCTGTTTTGATATGGTTGTGCTTAAGATAGTTCAATTTTGTGCTTGTATTTTGGTAATTATGGGGTTGATTTTTAGTTATTCACTTTCTTATGGAATTGTATTTGGTATGTTATTCCTGTGGTTCTTGGGATTTCATTGGGTTTGACTTTCCAAAGTGTTTTCAATCCAAATGTCTCAAAGTGTCTCATGAAATGAATATTAATGCAGTGGGATCGCGGTAATGATGACAAACAACTACAGTCATTATTCTCTGTCAAGAAAATAGTTTTAAATGCTAAATCTTTTTGATTCTGAAAATATTCAGATATTACCTATTTGTATGTTAGTACTTATGCATAGACTTAAAAATAAGCATCTTTCAAACATTACTCTTGTTGATTGGAGAATATTAGCATATCACCAGTGGTTTATTCCTCTCTCTCTACACAGAAGAGAAATAAACACAAAAGAAGAGAATACAGTCACAACAATCCCCTGCTGTGCTACAGGCTGGGAGAAAAGTGGCTAGAAAGCTGCCCAGTGGAAGAGAACCTGGGGGTGCTGGTCAACAGTGGCTGAACATGAGCCAGCAGTGTGACCAGGTGGCCAGGAAGGCCAATGGCCTCCTCTCCTGTGTCAGAAATAGCATGACCAGCAGGACTAGGGAAGTGATTGTCCCCCTGTACTCAGCACTGGTGAGGTCACACCTCGAGTGACTGTGTGTCCAGTTCTGGGCCCCTCACTGCAACAAAGATATTGAGGTGCTGAAGTGTGTCCAGAGAAAGGCAACAAAGCTGGTGAAAGGTCTAGAGAGTCATGGAGCAGCTGATGGAGCTGAGGGTGTATAGCCTGGAGTAAAGGAGGCTCAGGGGAGACCTTATCATTCTGTACAACTACCTGAAAGGAGGTTGTAGCAAGGTTGGGGTCGGCCTCTTCTCCAAAGCAACTAGCGACAGAACAAGAGGAAATGGCGTCAAGCTGCACCAGAGGAGGTTCAGATTGAATATCAGGAAGAATTTTTCACTGAAAGGGTGGTCATGCATTGGAACAGGCTGCCCAGGGAGGTGGTGGAGTCACCATTCCTGAAAGTGTTCAAGAAATGGCTGGATGTGGCACTTAGTACTGTGGTTTAGCTGACATGGTGGTGTTAGGTCAAAGGTTGGGCATGGTGATCCTGGAGGTCGTTTCCAGCCTTAATGATTCTATGATTCTTTACAATGTGCATTGACTTCAACTGGTTGTTTTTATAGAGTAGCTGGTCTTTCAAGTCACAGGATGCATGCTGAAGGACTAGTTAGTGGTTGTGGCTTCAGAATTTCTTTTAGCTGTAAGCTATACAGTTTTGATACATACTAGTTTTCTTGAATTGCTCTCTGATAAGACTTTTTTTTTTTTTTTTGCAAAACCATATAACTGCAAATCATTTTGGGTCTACAGTATGCTAATGCTCTCACATATTTTTTTCCCTTTAAGGCAAGAACTTTTGAAGTGGAATGGATGGGGATATAATGACTCCAAATTCATCTTCAATAAGAAGGGGCAAGCAGAATTCACAGGAAAAAGGTAAGTTGCAAATTTATGTAACTGGAGTATCTTATTTAGTAGTTTCTTTGAAAATATTTTAAAAGCTGCATAGTTCTGTTAATGCAAAGAATCCTGCATCTCATGGAATAGGTTATTAGTTGTTCTGCATTTTACAAGTTAATTGAAGCCTATACACAGTAATCTAATGTAGTAAAATAGACTGTGTAGCTTATTGACAGGTTCATTAAAAGTGTTGTAAAGACAAATTAACATGAGTCTTGTCTGTAACTTGATATACTGTGTGTGTTAAACCTTTCTTGGAGAACGGAATCAAACTGAGAATCTGCACTGTATTCTAAAGCTTTAGATAACATGCAGCAGGTTAATGCAGTTTTGAGACTATCTTGAGCATCAACTAGTTCCTTTATGAAGCTTCCAATTTACTTTGGGTTTCTTAACCATTGTGCGTGGAGCTACTTTGTCCTCTGAACTTAAAACCTGATTTCCAGTTGTATGTTTTGTAGTGGCACCACTTCTGATTGATTGCCCGCTAACCCTTTCTGCAGCAAACTTGTTTTTCTGAGAAATTTCTTTTTTTTTTTTGGAGAAATGACATTAAAATTAAGTCTAGTTGGGTATCTCTTAATTTTGTTCCAAAGGAATTTAAACCTGTCACTTAATGTCTTACTTATTTCCAGGGGTTTTTTTCTGCCTGAGTGGAAAGTAGTCTTGTACTCTCTTCCCTGGTTTAAAAAAAAACCACTTTCCATAAGACTAAAGAAAAAGAATGGGGAGGATAAATCAATTTGCAATAAGTCCTGTCCTTGATAAAAATTCCTTCCTGGTCTTTGTGTAAACTAGCATAAACTAGCTTGAGACAAAGCTGCAAAAACCTAACTGAAATGCTGGGCACTTCAGGTGCTATTTTCTTGATTTTCAGGCCCAAATTAAAATGCAAAGCCTTGTCTTAGGTAGTTCACTGTATAATATTTAGGGAGATGCTGCACAGAAAATCAATGCACACTATGTAGAAGAAAAGAAGATAAAGGTCAGGGCTTGACTTTTTTTTTTTTTTTTTGTTCTCAGGAGGAAGCTTCATGATTGCTTGAGTGCTATGTGACTGATGAGTACTAGTCACTGCTCTAGAATGGGAAAATCATGCTTTTTGTCCCCCATGTACATTCTTTCTCTCAGAGAGATACTAAAAATGCCTTGTTGGGCCATGCAAGTATAGTTTCTATGGAGTAGTTTGTTGCAGTGACAAAAGGAAAGTGTTTGATGTGAAAATAGGAAAATGTGCAGAGGTATTGTAGATGCCTCATCCTTTCAGTGCGCATTTACAGATCTGTTGTCCATAAATTTGTCTAATAATCTCCAGTCTTCTCATACTGTTTGCCTACACATCCTGTGGCAGCAAGTTCCAGGTTGCTGTTGTGTATAGTACTTGTGTTTTGAACCAAATATCCCCTACTGTGTTGCAAGAGCTGGTGAATGATAGTTCTTCAGCCTATCTACTACATTATTGATTTTATGAGGCTCTATTATATCCTCTCTTCCACTTTCTCTCCATGCTTGAGGAGTCCTGGGCTCTTTAGTCTCTGCATGTAAGACCCCTTGGTGTTTACAGCAGCTATTCTATCAGCCCTCTCTATCTCCACTAGGTCTTTTTGAAGACAGGGACAAAAGCTGCATGCAGCACTTGAGGTATGGGTAAAACAGTGTTCTACAGAGCAGCAAAAAGAGATTAACTATCTTCCTTCTTATACCTGCCCAGTTGATGCATAGCACTGTTGGCTGCTGTGCTGTTTTGTCAGTGAAGATGCCATGATTTTTTTCTGCACTGATTACCAGTGTGATTCTGCAAAATATGCAAGTAATGCATTTTTTTGTGATTATTTTTTGAGGCTTTTGCATTTGTCTTATCTTTCATCTTCTTTCGTCTGCTCAGGTTTTTTCAGGTCTTGACTTCCAATCAGTGTAGTATCTGTCTCCCCAAAAGACCTTAATGTTCTTCACCTAGTTGGAGAGTCCACTGCTGAATCCAGATCACTGCTGAAAGCATTAAGTAGAACTGGTCGCAATACCAGTGTGTGGCAAGTTGCACTGCTGAGTCTGTCTTGGACAGTGGTCAAACTCTGCCCTTTGCTTCTTAACTTAGCTTTCAGCGTGTTGAAGAAACTTTCCTTCACTACTGTAGCAATGTTATTTTCTTAAATAACTTTTGGGGAGCACACCTGTGGAAGTGTAAGGGAGTGTGGAATTTCATGTTCATTGCATCCCCTTTATTCACTTTGTTTTTACACCCTGATAGAACTTCAAAGATCAGTGAAACAGGATTTCCCTTTATGAAAGCCATGTTGACTTTCTTTATGGACTATGCTTTTCCATGTGTCAAATGAACTTTTTATTATAGACTCTGCCATCTCACCAGAGATACTTGCAGGTCTGAGCAACTAAACCTGCTTTTTAGAGTGTGTTTGTGTGTGTGGCAGGGGGAAGTCTTTTGGTGGACTTCTTGAACCATCAACATATACATACTAAGCTTGCTCCCTGAGCCATCATGCATTGCACTCTGTGCAGTAAACTCACTAACTCCTCCTTGGCTGTGACTTCTGTCTGTGTCTTGACTTAAAAGTTTGGGGTTTTCTGATAGTTTGGTTTGTCCTTGAGTAAGTGATTAAGGTTCCCCTTGCAAAGTTGTTATAGTGATAGGTTGGCAATACCAAGAATTAGGTCTGGAGAAGAAAATACACTGAGTTGACTTGGGTCTCAACCTTCCGTGTAAAGTCCTGATGCAGATGCATTAAACTTTCATTGCTTATTGCACTTTCCTTTTCGTAGAATTCACGTAACTTTCATATGGGTATATTGAAACAGTAACAGCTATCACAGGAGGAATGACTGAACACTGTCTTGCATGCTGAAAAGTCTAGCTTGAGTTGAGATAACGTTCTAGCCTTTTGTCTCTAGGAGTAAAGTAGGGTTTTCTAGCAGTAGGAGAGCTGGGAGGTAGGTGAGGAAACAAAAGGAATTGATCTTTCTGTGAAATTAGTGACTTAATTGTGGAATTGGTTGCAACAACCTTGAAGGACAGGGTCATAACTGGATTAACAGTGACTGAAAAATCTTAGAAGGAAGACCCATTTGGCCCAATGCAGTGACCCAGGTGAAGACTATGGTAAGAATTCTCAGCTGGTGAAAGCTCTTAATACCAAAGGAAGATCTCTTTGCTCTTTTCCTCTGACTTGTTAATACATAAACATGCACAAGGTGTGTCTATGTATACAATTAATGGCAGTAGTTTCTAGATGTTTAACTGTGTCCCAGGCCATATGTGTTGTCACATGTGGTGCACATGGTCGCAAACAGCTCCTCTGTCCCTTGTATCTAAGTCTGCATTTGTCAAATAGCTAAAGCTCTTGACAAAAAGAGTTTGTGCTGGAAATAATTTTACATTGTTTGATGGATTCTGTTGCACTTTGATGATGAAGGAGGAATCTTTAACATTGTCTTTTTTTTTTTCTTGAAAACATAAGGGGTACTGAGATGCGTTTGTGTGTCTGAGACTGCTGTTTACATTGCCATGTGTCTGTACATGCATGTCCCCTGTCTGTAAATGGCATGTAAACTGTGATGCTGCTGAAAGGGAGTAGTTCTTTCTTAAAAGTGGTGGGATGGGATATCTATAGCCTTATGACACAACTCCCAAAGCTAAGTGATACCAAAGATGTGTACGACTGATTTGATTCTGTGTGAAGTACAGAACAGTTAAATATGATGAAATGTGCAGTTGCATGAAAACTAAATGTGAAGAACCTTTGCAGGCCTGTAGGTAAAGAATTTGATTTAGAACTTCTGTTTGTGCATACATAGAATGGAAAGAAGTGTATCTGACATACATTCTTTTAATTTAAAATGACCCTATGTAATATTGACTTTTCAGGTACAGATTAGGTGGTATGGTATTACCAACTTTTAAGGAATGGATAGAAAAAACCTTTGGAGCAAGTCTGGAGCACAAAACTACCTCTAGAGTAAGTAAATAGCTGAACCAGTTCCTTTGAACATTAGTCTTGGTGATAATCAAGACCACAGTGTTAAAGAAGATTCAGCTGTTGCACATAATTGATGTAAATACAGTGTATTAATGCCTCTGCGTTTGTGAAAAAAATATTTGATGTAGAGCTATTATGTGAAATCTTTCATGCCTTAGCATGACTCGTGGTTTTAGGTTAACTGGTAGTACATTTATTGGAATGAAAGGTTCCAACACAGGGAGTTTTTGTCCTTGTTTATGGCTTGTGTTTCAAGACTGTAGAAACTTAGCCTAGAGGGAGTTGTTTATGCAACTTCAGTGTTGTTCATGATAACAAAGAAAATACGGGGAAGTTAAATTGTGATGTGTTTTCAGTGTATTTAAAGGTATCAAAGTTCTTATTTGACAGTAATTTTTTTTTTTACGTGCCTGGATGCTGGAAAGTATCTATTGGAATACTCAGGATTTGAACTGAATGTTTTGAGGACAATAACACATTGGGTTTTATAAATTATACGTATTTTGCCTTTTAGACAGAGTACCTTATGTCAGAGTCAGAAGACCTGACTCCCTTCTAACAAGAATTCCTTTTAAGCTTTGAATTCCTAACTAGAGCAGTATTGGGAGCTGGCTGTGCTTGTTCAGTGACTGTGGCAACCCTGCTTTGAATAACAGTTGTACCCATTTCTTGAATGAGTTTGAGATTGCATTTCCTTTGAAGCAGATAATCTCATAGGGCCTGAAAACGTTTCTTCAGTCTTCTCAAGACATTCTTTCATCTGCTGTGACTTACAGGATCTCCATCTGCTAATATAATTTGACCAGGGTTGTTCTTAACTGGTGGCTGCTTTAACTCATTGTGAACAGAGGTCTTGAGAGCTGTTCCTGCATGTAGAGGAAATATAGAGCAAAGCAGAGTTGAAGGACAAGTACAGATTTTGGAATAGTATCCTGATTTTACAGTATGTCTTGCAAACCAGCTCCTCAGGATATCTCCCAGCAATGTTGAAAGCTTTTCTGTTATGCTATGTCACTCTGGTTCTGATGGTCTTGTGATCTGAAACAGGCTGACTACATTGTTACAGACTAGGACTCTTTGGAGTCTCCAGCATATATCTGGGTGTTTCATAGCCAGTCTCAAGTACTGCTGCAGGTCCCTCATTTTCATGTCTGTCAGCTCTTAGTTTATATTTCAGGTTGTCATGCTGCGTTGGATTTTCACCTTCTGCTATCATCCAAGCATGAAGAAACTAGTATAGGAACAGCAGTAGGAGAGGGATCTCTTGGTTCATTTGTCTTTCTATCCCATCTCTTCAGACCTCTATCATATAAGACTGGAGGGTTCCCTGTTGCATGTGACTGTTATAATTAACAACAGTAAATGTACCTGCTTCCATGATGCTGAAGGCCTGTTGATGTTTTTTCTTTCAGACAAGACTTCCTTTCAGACACAGACAGCAGTTTAGACCTAGTTCACATAGTCTTCCTGCCTAGCCTTTCAGTGCACAAATCTTCAAATATTTCAGTCCCTGGAGGATAAATAAGGGTATATTTTTGTTTGCCAGTACATGTAAGCTTTTTATGGACAAATACTAACTTTTTAATCTTGAAGGAAAAAAAATCTAAAGAATTAAAAAACTTGTGGAAAAGAGATAAAAATCAAGACACTTGAAACCATCTGCAAGGAATTGTTACAGCTTTAAGTATTTTATGACCCTGTTACAGAGAACAAAGATCTTCACTTGCAATGATATGAAATAGTTCTGTCTATGGAAATCCATGAAGAAATCAAAGTTTAAAATATAAAGTGTAAGCACAGCTAGCAAGGGTTTGTCTTAAAAGAAGTGGTTTAAAGATCTTTGTTTCCTATTTGTTTGTTTCTCGTATTTCCCAGGTTTCTGCCAGAGCTCTGTTCTTTGGGTTAGCAGACAGCATTGTGCAAATATGCATTAGTAGCAGAAGAGTAAGAGCAGCAATCCAAGACTTGTCTTCCCCTGTGCTTATTGTGACTGGCTGCTAAAATTATGGTCTCTCAGTAGTGGTGTAGCCTCTCACCTAACAACACCTAATTTCAGCTTTGTGTTTGTATGTGACAAGGTGAATATAGTGGAGGGAAAAGCCTTTTCTCACCTGTTGGACACCTTATGTCGATAAGTACAACATTATCCTTAAAGCAAGTCAGGACAGCACATATCCTCTTCCAGAAGTCAAATAATTGTTAAAGCTGTCTTTTCATTACCTCATGTGTCCCATATGAAGATTCTAAACCAAACATTTGGCTATACTTTTGAACCCCTAAATGATGTTAGCTGTCAGTAATGAGCATCTCATGCAGCTATTTCTTTCTGAATTACCTCTGTATGTAGCCTTAATTTCCGCATAACCTTACACAATTGCTTGTAGGTTAGATACTGGTAGGCGAGTTCCATCACTGTGGATCTTTAAACTACCTGAAAACTTTCCTGTTGGTTGAAATCTTCCCTTCTTCAGCTCTTACAGCTTTGAGGCTCAGCACATTCAGAATAGACTGCTGCTGTTGTGGTAGATGGGAGATTACTCATCTCCAATTTTCTTCCTGTTGGCTTGTTAACTTGGTGATTTTCTTCTAAGATTTTGTCTTAAGACACATTGGCAAAAAGTATCAGGTGTTCTGGAGGTTATGTAGGGCAAATATAGGTAAAACTCTGTTCCAGGAAAGAAAACTGAGATATGTGAGTATACTTTTTACAGAAGGCAAACTTCAGAAGATGAAAGAAAAGTGAATTCCATGTTGTTGTTCTGTCTTTATACTTGTCAAGAAGCAAAAGTAAAGCTTGTCCAAGAAATGTCCAAGTTCCTTTGGCTCTGTGGAACATTTGTGCAAAATACTTTCTGTGATAGGGCTGTGAGCCAGCTCTTTCTGGCATCTTCAGGCAACCTGTAGTCTTTCCTGATGGCTTTATGACAAAAGTGCAAGCTCCTTCTTTTTGAGTTGCTATCAGTTAATTTGCCGGCAAGGATTTCATGACAGAAGTATGAAAGCACTGCACTGTTTTAAGTAATCTTTGTGCAAATCCTGTTTTTTTTAAAAAATGTATTCAAAATAAAAGATGAGATAGTAAAGTCTTCCATGTCTGCTCTCAGACTTGAGGGAATTTGTTAACAGGAAATAAGATTCTTGACCAATGTTTTCTTTTGAAATAGAACTTGGAGTCAAGAAGTTAGTTTTTAGTCATAAGACAAGCTTTGTCTCTAATTGAAGAACTCTTGTAATTTTTTTATTTGCTCCGTTTTTAAGGGGGGGAAAAAAACCCTGGGTTTTTTTGAACCTTCAAAGCACATAAAAACATTAAACTTCATGTCTAAGAAGATGCTTTTTTAACTGGATCCTGTAAAGAATCCTCATTCTCTAAGTGGCTTAAAAAAGTTGACACATGGACTGCATTTTTGTGTCCAATAACCTAATGTGGACTTCAGAAAAGAGAGTTAAGTGGCTAGGTCTGCACTGTGAGTACCAGAAAAACTTTGAGTACTAGAAAAGACACCTGTTGTAAGGAGCTGAGAGAATGGGTCATTAAAAAACCTTAAGCAGGACTTCTCCCTTGTGACTCCACATGGATTTTAACAAGTCTTTAAGTGTGGGTTTTGCTTGAAGCATACCAGTTAGGTTGTATCAGTCAAACTTAGTTTTGCCTTGCATTGGACTTCCGATTAGGCTGTGGTCAGATTTGGGTTTAACTTGCAGTAGATGACAGGAGGAAGGGAAGTGGGTTAATGGAAACAGAGCTGTAAGTAGAAGAATTTGAAGAATGTGTAGTGACTTTAGTAGGTATTTCTTTGTATTAGAGGAAGAATTTATAGTCAAAAAGGAAATTTGACCTTCAATATCTACCTGTTTATCAACAGGAGAGTCTTAGTTCTGTTCAGGCAGCTGTTTTTCCTGAGTCTTGGGAAGCCTTAGAAAGGGTATTTTGTTCAGTATGCACCTGTAAGCTAGTGTGTTTCTCTAAACTTATTAGGAGGAAGAAAGGTAAGAATGTGCTACTGAAGTAAAACTTCCTACTAGGTAGAATAAGTTGGATCAGTGGTTGAAGATGTGGAGGAGACCTGATGTCTTTTCTGGTCTTGAATAGTTGTGTTTGGGTATCAGTTAGTGTTAGCCTGTTTTTATTATTTTTTGTTGCACAGAAATGCTGTACAAGTGAACTTATCTTTAATGAACTTCTTTTCTTGTGTTGTAGGCATCCTTAAATGTTAATGATGTACCTCCATCCATTGTAAATGAAGAATTTCTTCAGGATCTTAGAGCCACTAAAATCTCCTATTCCCAGGATGCAGAAGATAGGGTATTCAGAGCTCATGGTAAGAGAACTTCATTTATGTAACTGTGTGGCTTTGGATTCTTCCTTGTTTGAACTTGCTAACTTATTGTTTGTATTTCAGGTCACTGCCTACATGAGATATTTGTACTCAGGGAAGGAATGTTTAAGCGAATTCCTGATATAGTTGTATGGCCTGGTAAGCTTTAATTGTCTCACTCTCCCTTCTGATCTGGGAGGCCATTGTTTAGTAAACTCCTGTTCCTTCTTGTCATGGGGCAGCTCTCTCTTGCTTCACTGACTTCACTCATCTTTACAGAAAATAAAGGAATTTTTCTCATGAATGGTAATCATGATTGTTTAACATCTGGAGTGCAGGTTGTGTCTGTGAAATACCATATTTTTTGTGGGGAAGTCAAATTTATTATTAAATATAGCTGAAGTTTCTGTTGACATCTGCATTCATGACTTAAGTAATCACAGTATAATGTGAACTTCTATGTCCACCAAGAGTAGTTGTCTAAATAGCAGTGTAAGTTTTGGGTTTTAAAGGCATACATGATGGTAGAAAGGTAGTGAAATGTTTGTATTAAAGGACTTTGTTTTGTGACATGATGTACTTTAGTAAAAAAAAAAATGACACCTGTAACTCCAATCAGAACACTTTACAAAGGATCATTGACTTGAAGAAAGTGGAGTGCAATCTGTGTACGGGTTAGGCCTGCTTTAAACACAGTAATAACTGATGCCATTGCAGATAACATGTAGCAGAAATATTCTTGTTTCGGTCAGTAATAAGGATATAAATACTCTTTTCTTTTTTTTTTTTTTTTTTTTTGACTTAAGTTGTATCTCTGGTCACTGGGAACTGCTTCCATGTGCCTTGGTACTTATGTGACAGCACTGGTAACTATGAACAGTACTTGCCACAGCTTGTATTTTGTGTAGCTCCAAAAGCAGCTGAAACAAAGTGATTGACTCCTTTATTTAAAACTGCTCTGTATGGTAAGAGCAAAGTAGCCAGAGTTTGCTCATTCTCTGCTGTTGGTACAAACTCATGTATGTACTATATTTGATCTCTTTTTTGATCCTTTTACTTGCCTGTGCACAAGCATTTCTGCCTCCCTCTTTGACCAGATGCAGAATGCATTCTGAAAAACTATATTTCACCAGTAACTCTACTTCTGAAACTTAATGTCAACCAGGAAGAAAAAGCTGTGTTGTTCAGCTCTCAGAAGAGGCTTATTTCTCATTTAAAATAAATTGAACAGCCTGTTTTCAATAAAAGCTTTAAACTTGATTTGTTCTCCAAGATACCTTGATGAATTGTTAAGTGTTTGGTAGCCCATCTTGCCCTGAGAATTTGCTGGAGGTCTCAATCCACGAGTAGAGCAAGAGACTAAGACTGTAATTAGCACTTCAAATGTAAAGTTGTTTGAGGTCTAAACTTTACTCTGTAACTCAGATACTTCTGAGCCCAGCTCTTATTTATTCTATTATTTATTCTTATTCTAACTTTGAAATGTATTCCTTGCTGGTGTCAGAAAAGGAGCTGCTGCTTATTCAGATTGCAGGATTTAGTGCTAAGCACAAATAACAGTACTAAGCACAAATCCTGTCTGTTTGGACTCTTTCAGTTTGCCATGAAGATGTAGTTAAAATTGTGGAATTAGCCTGCAAACACAATCTCTGCATAATACCATTTGGTGGTAAGTGTTGTGAAATCTCATCTCTGTTTAAGGTTATTAGTGAAAATGTATTCTACTTCAATTTAAATGTGTTCTTAGTAATATATTGTACCAATAATTCAAGAGTTAGATTTTTTTAGTAGTATTTTAAATGTCTTAATTTTTTTAATGATCTTGAAGTATTAAAAGCAGCTATATTCATTTAATGGAAGGCATTAAAAGTATGTCAACACCTTGAATATTGACTGTATGAAGATTGGCCATATGAAGCTGAAATGTACCTCTGTGACTTGGAAATCTAGGAAATAAGTCAAGAGATTGATGTATCTGTATTAGATTTACCAAAGTTTTGGATGCATTACTTGTGCTCTGTTCCCACAACATGTATCAATTTTTTTTGCTGTGCTGTTGAAGCTCAGAGTTTCAGGGAGGATTGTGGCCAAACACTGTACTGCAAAATTGTTCTGATTTCCTTTTGGACATTGTTCAGTTTGAAAGTTAGAGACTGCGGTAGCAAGGGTTTTTCAGGATGTGTTCCAGGCACAGAGTACAGGTAAAGGCCTATATAATCTGTGTCCCCTCAGCCTAAAGAATTTCTAAAGGACTTCAGGTTTTTATTTGTGGATGCTTTTCCCCTTGAGCCTGCTGAAGTAGGGTTATGATCTACCTTGTTTTGACATAAAGCTCAGGGATCATAGGATGTTGGCTTATTCTGTAAGAAGGTTTTCATCAAGAACTCTTATTTCTGTGGGATACATCTGTATGGTTTACTTGGTATTTGCTTATCCTTTAGGATTATAGCCCTTGTAGGAAGGGCATTTACTATTTGAGAAGATGAGTGTGTCACTTGAAGACATGAGAATTTTATGATCAAAGTATCATTCCCATATTTGCAGGAGGGACAAGTGTCTCTAGTGCCCTTGAATGTCCTGAAGAAGAAAAAAGAACAATTGTGTCTCTGGATACATCACAAATGGTTTGTCTCTCTTAATGTTTTATTTTATTTTTTTCAAATTATTCTACATTTACTTTGGTGATCACTAGAGAATGACATTATTTGCTTTGCCAGAATAAGGTAAGGATGGAAATACTTATGTACCATGCATGATGAAATTGGTACTCCTGGTATTTTTCCGATGTTAGCCAAGTACTACTTTATATGACCTGTGTGTATTTAATAAGTAAAAAGTTACAGTTAAGCCTTCTTATAGCAGCTTTAATTGAAAATTGGAGGAAGCTACTATTCTTTTGTATTGGAACTCATATCTCAAGTTAAATGAAAGGCTAAGAGGAAGTTGTTATTGCAAATTTCACTAGTTTTTGCAGACATTAAATTACTTAAAGCAGAAGTTGGTAAGGTGACCTAATATCGATAAATCAACCTGAAGGATAAACTTTCAAGAAATAACTCTATTTTTTTTTGCGCAGATAACACCTTGAGAATGTAAAGCTCATAGTATTATGGCAGTCTAGAAATGAAGCTCTGTAAAATTTATTGCTGGTTTTCATTTTCCATTATGAAAGAGATTTACACTTTTAAAATGATAGCTTTGTGGCTACATGGTAATGAGATGGTTCAGAAACAGTTCTGTATCTTTGATGTAAGGCTCTTCTGCCTCTGAGTACCTGCTGAGCTTAGTAACTCCTTTAGCCTTGAAGGTAGGACCTGGTTTTTGGTATTCCCTCCCTGGTAGAGGGAACGAGGAGGCTCAGCTTCCACTGCAGTAATAACTGGAGTGGTATTAATAGTAAATTGTATGACCAAGTATGTTGATCCTATAGCATTAGAGATAGAATTCTTAAACACTGATTCTTAGTTTTGATTGGCTTTTCAACAGAATCGGATTCTCTGGATAGATGAGAAGAACTTAACAGCTTGTGTGGAAGCTGGCATTGTTGGACAAGATCTGGAAAAACAGGTATTTTTATCTGGTTAAGTGTCTAGTGTGTTTTCATATTTTTCTTAGATGTTCCTCATGTCTTGTCCAAATCATTGAATTCTAGGTTAATTCTTGTGTTTTCACACTGCTGGTGTGGTAAACATTATATTCATTGGCTAAGAACCAACCCTTCCCTAATATATGACCATATATATGAAACATAAAAAGTCAGAAGTTCCTCTGGTATAATAGAGAACCATGAGATAGAAGAATCTCCATAGACAGTACATAGATGTGACTTGCAGTCTTTTAAAGTTAGAACTGCCTTGTACAGCAGAACATAGTTAATGATCTATATAAAGATGTATAGCACGTATAACGCATGTCCAATGTGATTGTTATCAGTTGGTCAGTGCAAATCGAGTATCTCAACACCAAATGCATTAATGCAGTTGTCACTTAATGTGAGGCTACTTGGGCTTTCATTCTTGCTGTCCAGCAGCTTTGGTGATGTGATTCTGAGGGCATCTAGTCAACCTCAGGTGCTGTGCAGATGGCAAAGCCAAGCTAATACAGAAACCCGAGAAACAAATGACTATTTAATGTACAGGAATTGTCTGATCTGCATCACAAGTAGTTGACAACATTGCATACAGGAAGCCTAAGCAGATGGCTGTATATTAAAACATATCTCTCCTTGAGAGAATTAAGTACAGGCAATTTGCTCACATTTTCTGCAGACCTGCTGCATATCGCATTAGGACAGAAAGAACAAGAGATTAAGTGCCTTGTTTATTGGCAGCATTTGTGCAAAGTTGGCAGTTACTTAGTTACAATTTTTCCGTATGTATTTGAATTTATACCTTCTTTTGAACAATTGAGGTCTTAGTTTTACAGTATGGGGGAGGAGTATTACAGGGTGATATTTAGCACAGCATATGCACAGTAGAAGCAAGATCAATTTACATTTCATGTACATATTAAAGATAAAATTTGTGCTTGAAGAAATGTGTGTGTGGTCAGGATACTTATTTAAAAACAAAACAAATATAGAATATTGAATTTGGAGTACTAAGCCAATGCAGGCTCTGTAGGATGTATTTTTTCTTTCCTTTAGCTTGCTGAAAGTGGCTTCTGTACAGGCCATGAACCAGACTCCATGGAGTTCAGCTCACTAGGAGGATGGGTAGCAACGCGAGCATCAGGCATGAAAAAAAACATCTATGGAAACATTGAAGACCTGGTAAATAGTTCTAATAATTTTTCTAATTGTTCTGTTTGGAGATTTAGCTTTTATAATGACTTACAATGACAGAAAGAAAGAGTAAATTGTGGTTCTTTGTGTGATACAGTTTTGACATCACATCTTGACTGAGATGCTTGTTTGCTTGCTTTTAGTATTGGTACTAATAATCGTTATCACTGATTGAAAAGTCATTTTCGTTTTGGTACTCCCTAGCTTAAGGAATTGTTACTGTGTCATTATTTTGGTGCTGTCTTCACTTTTGTGCTCTACTAATCCAATGTAATAATCCTGTCAAACATTTACAGTGAGTCTGGAATTCCCATGTTCTCTCCTACCTGTTGTGTATTCCTGCAGATGTGTAGTTGGACTATATAACTCTTGACAGGAAGCTAACTCTTTCCACCTTCCTACATCCCCCTAGGCTAGTAGTTTCTTTCAAATCACTAGACCAATCTAACTGACCGTGTGGATGCACAATGGCAAAATTTAATGCCACCACATGGTCTGTAGGAACCCTGAGGAAGGAAGTAATGGACTAGGAAGGGCAGTATTCTACTCTTGAATCTGTTTTAAGCGTTAAAATAGTTTGTCTTTTTATTAACTCAGGTAACTTTTTAGTTTTAAGCACACTTGTTGATTTTAAAGTGCACCTTTTCTGTTCTAACAAATATATTGAAGATAAATCATCCCTGCTCAGACTTTGCCTGCCTTTTTGCTTACACCTTTCTCTCATAGTTTGAACAATAACCCTTCCACACATGAATTTTTTCCTTGCTCTAGACAGTGTGTTCCAGTCACCTCAGGCTTTTTCATCAGCTTGTAGTTCAGACATGTTTGTTCTGTACACAGATGTGACACTTCTGTCAGCAGCTGAGCTTGGCAGGAACTACACAGTTTTTATTCAGTTAATCTGGCTGAACTAAAACTACTAGCACTTAGTGTCATCATTCCCCTGCTGCCTGAAGTGTTACTGAATGGTATAGTTTTGCTTGTACTGGGAGTTGTGAAGCAGAAGGCTTTGCTATTATGGAAACTTAACTTCAGGCTAAAACAGCTTCTGAAATTTTCATTAGGAGGAAATAAGATCGAAAATGGATTCAGAACAGTTCATGAGTTTGGAAATGGCAGAGTGAGAATGTTTCAGGGAAGTGTTTACTTTCCAAGGAAACTTTATATCTTGAAGCAGTTTGTTATATAAGCTGCCTAAAATCCACTCACTGCAGAATCAGTGGTTCATAAATTGCATATAATGAAAATTACTTAGCTACCTGGGCTTGAAAGTTTTAAAGCCATTAGTTGAAATTCAGACATTTTGCTTCATTTAAAGGTGTCACTAAAAAAACCCCTGAAACTCCACCTTTCCCTGGCATAAAATAATTGAATAAGGGATTAAACCCCTCACATCTGGACTCTATTTGTGTGCATGAATAAAGCTGGAAGCAATGACACTGAAAACCTCCTAGCCCTACATATGTGTCGGTCTTCTGGCAGATTTGATACTGATAATCTCTTTCACGAAGCTTGTTTCTCTCTTTCCTCCTAATAGAAACATTTCTGTACCAATCAATGACACTGAATCGTATTAGCTTTATCAAGCAGCAGTTCTAAAGCCAAACTTAAGCAGAATTTAACCCCTCACATTTTACCTCTGAAGTACTATATCTATATAATTTTTTTTTTTCTGGGTTAGAATCCTGGTATTTGTGAAGTTCTGTCTACACTGAGAAGCAAAATAGTTTTAGCTGGTATTGCCTTCATGCAGCCAACAGCTGAGACAATTTGTCGTAGAACTGGAAATAATCTGTTGTGTGGAGAAACTGGGCTGTGCTAAAAATAATTGTTGGTAACAGTCCTCAGGTTATCCCAAGCATTCTTGGAACTGCCTACAGAATGTCTAAAGTGTACAGAGCTGAACTGTGTGAAGCTTGAAGTGTTTTGTAGAAAATAAAGATAATAAAACCCCCTGTGATTAATACTAGTAATTATAGTCATTGCATATTGTTTAAACAGGTGATTCATATAAAAATGGTAACTCCTAGAGGGATAGTAGAAAAAAACTGTCAAGTACCTCGCATGTCAACAGGACCTGATATCCATCACTTCATTATGGGATCTGAAGGTATAAACACAGTAATTTCATATACTGCAGCCTGGAGAAGAGAAGGTTGTGTGGAGACATAGTAGCCTATCAGTATCTGAAGGGGCTCCAGGGGAGCCAGAGAGGGATTCTTTGTTAGGAACTGCAGTGATAGGACAAGGGGTAACAGGTTCAAATTGAAGGAGGGGAAATTTAGGCTAGATATTAGGAAAAAGGTTTCTCCTATGAGGGTGGTGAGACTGGCACAGGTTGCCCAGGGAAAAGTAGTGGCTGCCCCAACCCTGTCAATGTTCAGAGCCAGGTTGGATGAGGCCTTGAGCAACCTGGTCTGGTGGGAGGTATCCCTGCTCATGGCAGGGGGTTAGGATTAGATGATTTGTAAGGTCCATTCCAACCCCTGAAATTCTATGATTTGATGATTTTGTGATTAATTCAGCTTCTGAAATGGCTTGATGATTTGAGCATCTTTATTTCTGTGACTTCTGGTGTGTTGGTGGGTGGCATTGTGCAGACATGAATTTCTTGTGTTAGGATAATACATTGAGACCTTAATTAGGACTGAAATGAAATGGCTTTTAACAGTGCTTTAAACAGACCTGTGGAGTAAGCCCACAAGTCTAGTAACAAACATCATGATTTAGAGGATATCTTGTAAGAATTCAGCATGTATTCATCAGGAATAAATGACCTACTACTGCAAACTGAATTTTTAGGATTTCTGATTTATGTTAACTTATACCATCCTGGTAAACAGTTGTTAAGTTGGGTAACTTGCAAGAAGTTAGTCTGGAAACATTTTGCTCAATTTTCTCTTTTTTTCCTGAAGGAACTCTTGGAGTGGTTACTGAAGTGACAATAAAGATTCGCCCAGTCCCTGAATACCAGAAGTATGGCTCTGTGGTCTTCCCCAACTTTGAACGAGGGGTGGCCTGCTTAAGGGAAGTGGCAAAGCAGGTAAAGAAAAGCTGCATGTTGACTTCATTCCAGGACACAGATTGTAGCGGTAGGGGTGTGTTGATGCTCTGGTATTTCTAGCAATTGATAACCAAGAATCTGAGATAGGAAGCTCATAAGCATGTCCATCAAGCTTTTGGAAATTATGCAGTTGAGGATTGAGCGTGTTATGAGTTTGCTTGATATTCTGAGCCAAATTGTGGACGTGCCTTTTAAAGACTTGTTTCAGTGGGAGTTATTTGCATATTGCATTACAAAAAATTTGGCTTTGCATCTCTTTCAACTGAGAGCTTTACGCTGAGATTAATTAGGACTTTGCGAAAGGAACCAGTATTTAAAGAAATTAAGTTGCAGCATACAAGTAAAAGGCAGGTGAATTTATGGCTCTGAAGTGACAAAGGAACAAAAGGAATGCAATGGAAGGATCCAGCCTGTGTTTAGAAATCACTTCCTGGTGACGAGCACAGTGACAAGTTCAGGTGAGATGGATATTTCAAGGTGGAATTGTGCTTACTCTGTAGTATTTAAATAGAGAATAGTGCAGTCAGATGGTTTCAGGTAGTGAAGCTCATACATGGGTATACAAATTCTGTCATGCATTTCCTCAAGACTGTGCTTCCAAACAAATCTGACACTGGCTAGCCTCTTTCTTCACTGACTAACATTTCTTTGCTCTGTGCAAAACATATCAAATTGTATATATGAATGGCAGAATGTACCCTGAATTGGGGGAGTAATTTCAGAAATGTTTTAATTGATGCCAAACTAAACACAGCTTTACATTTTTTCCAGTGATTGGTCTAAATTAATGGCTTAATGTTCCAAGCCAGATGTTCAAACTGGTATGTGAATGACATGTATATGCTAGTCAGCAGCACTTGCCAGTTTTTTTCTGTCGTGCTTCTACTGCTAGTGCTTGTTCTTCCTGTTAAAGGTACCCAAGCAGACTTTTTTGGAATGCTTAATCATATGGCTGATCAACATTTTAAATCATTTAGGGAACCAGAAGAGGGGGGAAAAGAAAAGGCACTATTAGCCACTTGGTGTTGCTCCATTTCCAAGCTTCTGTTGCTGCTGCTGCTGTTTTATTGCTTACTTGAGCCTGAACTACTTATTCTTCTCTTCTGTTGCATCAATCTTGGTAGTAGTTACAATGATTGCTATCTGATAAGCTGTTTCTTTTCTATGTCAGTCCTCTTTAATGTAAGAATAGTCAACCTGCAGGTTGTGGGTGGGTTGGTCTCATTTAAAACCATTCATCTGGCTGCCTTCTGTCAACCTGCCTGGTGAGCTATCTTAGGTCTTCATGCTCTTTCTTCTTGTTGTGTGACCAAGCATATGTTAGTGATGTTATGGAGGGTGAACATGTTAAATGAAGTGAAAGAGGAGTACTTCCATATCCATGTGATTAGGTGATGACTAGCCTAAAATTTTACACTTTGTCATATTCTTCTGGCCATACATTTCAGTATGGCTGGACGTGACCATCACAGATTATATGCTGTAGGCATATGCATGATCAGAATCATAGAATCAACCAGGTTGGAAAAGACCTCAAAGATCATTGAGTCCAACTCCAGTTTACCTGATTGAAGGTAGCTGTTCTTACTGCTTTTCACATTTCTTTACAGTGTGAAATCTAGATCAGACCCAGGTATGGATTTTAACTGCAGTCTGATTACAGAGCATTAGTGTACTGGGTCTAGCCAGGATGGAGTTAACTTTCTGCATAGCAACCAATGTGGTGTTAGCTTTTGTACTTGTGACCAAAACAGTGTCACACCAGTGTTCTAGCTATTGCTGAACAGTGTGTACACAGTGTCAAGGCTTTCTCTGTTTCTCACTCTCTTCCCACCTGCAAGTATGTTGGGAGCAGGCAAGGGGCTGGGAGGGAACACAGCTGGGACAGCTGACCCAAATTGACCAAAGACAAATACCATGTAAGATCACAGAAATAAAACTGGAGGGAGGAGTTTCTCGGGGCTTGCCATTGCTTGAAGAGTGGCTGGATAGTGGTCAGCTGATGGTAGTTGATTGCTTGTTTGCATTGCACTTTTGTGGGTTTTCTCCCATTTTGGTTACCAAGGTGTCTTCATCTCAACCCAAGAGTTTTCCCACTTTTGCCCTCCTGATTTTTTCCCTGTCCCACTGTATGGGTAGTTAAGTGAGCAGCTGTGTAGTGCTTAGCTGCCTGCCAGGGTTAGCTCTCAATAATTAGACTTTTCCAGTGGATTTGTAATATATGTGTATCTTTGATTACATAGCATCATAAGCTTGATATACTAATCAAGTTTGGTATCTTTAGTGCATGTGCCAATTTAGAAAAACACTCACTACTTGAAGGTCAATGATTTTTGGACTATTCCAAAGTTGGCTTGAGGTTAAACTGAAAATTAAATGCATTATGTCTAGACATACCTAAGAGATAGTTATCCCTTTTCAAAGATGGTGATGGCAGAGAGGTCTCTGGGATCAAAAGATCTGTGCTTTTCTTGAGTGAAAACTTGATTCTAATGAATTTTAAAAACAGCAATGTACATAATCTTTTTATTCTTCCTCCCTCTCGTTCCCCTACCTTTGCCTCCAAGAGATGTGCTCCTGCATCAATTCGCCTTGTGGACAATGCACAGTTTCAGTTTGGTAAGTATGTAGATCTTCTGTTTCCAAGGGGTTTGATTATTAGTAGCTTAAGTCTGTTTTAGGTGATAAATCTTTTTCTCAAAACTAGATAAAGGAGGCATGGAACCTGAAATTCAAACTCCAAATAAAGCTATAATTGTAGTTTCAGA